AAGCGGGTACATTTCCCCTCAAAGTGTATGTCTGCGTGATTCTAAACCATCGATACACTTCCAGACTTCAGTGGCTTGTCAACTTTTTGACTCCGGGAAAGGCCTGTGGAGAACAATGTCCAACATTGTCTTCTTCTCCAGATGCTCCTGTGTGAGCACTGTGCTATATGTATACATGATATCCAACTCGGTTATTTGTTCCGGTAACTGCAGCCACGCGAGTTCAGCGTCGTTTTACCACCAGTTGTTGTTCACCGATGTCTGCGAGACGTTGGGGAATAAATTTTGAAGTACTGGCATAAGATCGTGGATATCTGACCATGCTGGGTGCGCTTTGGGATGGAGGTGGATATCGACTTCGAGGACGAAGGAGATGGACCGGCAGAACTTCGACGGCGAAAATGAAGCGTCGACGGACCGGAAGGCTATGGTGTCTCGTTGTAGGGTACGGCCGATGATGTGGTTAAGGTGGAAATGAGTGAAGATGTGTATGTCAGTGCAGTACACATGAGTAAATTCCCAAGCAAACGATTTGCTGACGAGAAGGGATGATGTTGCCATCCGGAGACGTTCGACGGGTGTAAGAGGAAAGGCCCATGCTTCCTCGATCGTCTGGGCAGGTATTTTTGCAGGCAGTACATTTGCCACTGTTCAACAGCAGTTGTAGAGATGATTTATGTGATTACAGGCATCGTTGTCCCTGCATTTTATATCTGATGATGCTCCACATTTTCATGATCCACCCTGGCCTTGGTGGTGAGAGTTCTGTCTCATCGATCATCCTGGGTAGAGTGTCCCCACTGGATGAAATTCTGCAAGCTTAGAATATCACACATCTTCTGTGACATCCTTAGAAATGGTTAGTTCAATAACAGTAGGATATATATTAATCTCCTTTTCACCAAGAAGTCACAGCTCCAAAATTTGCTGACTGACTGGAAATGCACTGTATGAAACTTGATGTCTAGGAAAATGGTTTCAGATGGCTCCCGGAACATTAGAAAGGGGGATGGAGGTAAAGGCCGAAGTTAGACTGTAATTGGTGGCTGTGTCTTACGAGGGATTTCATTGAATCTGCCTTCATTTAGTGTCTTTACACCCATTTAAATTATTTATGAGCTCTCAGCTTCCTTGGTGTCACCAAATGATTCACTAGGACTAATTTCCCTTTGCAGAGCATCCATTTAATTATAAGTGGCTAGGTCAAAATAGAATTTATTTATCTGCAAATTATCACTCTATGTACTTAAAATAAATAATATTTTGGAGGAAACGGCGGAAGATTCGGGGATCGCGAGATGGTTTCCATTTTGAGGAGTTTACACCACACAGTTTTAGCTTACATCATCATCACGGAGGGCGAATTTGAGACAAGTCTCAGACGGCAATGGATATATAATGGAGCTCTTTGGCCTCTCTTCAGTCCCTCACTGAACATCTCTCTACACTACACAGTGAAGTCACTCAGCTCATTTTTGATCTTTTGAATCATTTATCAGTCTGTCCCTTAGTTTCTTTATGATTGTCTCATACTAACCATCTTATTTTCCCTCTCTTCATTCAATGCTTTCTGCTGAAGTTGTTGAGGATTACATTCACTTTGCTAGGAGCTACATGGAGGAGGCTCAGAGCTCTGTTGACCAGGACCCTACTATCTCCCCAACCACTGCTACATCAACCTTCTCCTCTCTGGACCTTGGCAGTGATACCATGTGCAGCACTACTTCCTACACTTCTGATGTGCATGCTGTCTCCAAGGAAGAGGCTGAATTCTACTATGCAGGCCTTCATTCTGGGCCCACATTGCTTTACCGCACAGGCAAAAAGTGGTTCCCACCCAGAGGACCTGAAGCCTATCACTGTTTGAAAGAGCTGCGCCCAGTCTACAACCATCTGATTATAACAGTCTGGAACAATGACTTGGGCTGGAAGGTTGTTAAAGTTTTAGATGCTCATACAGTCAGTTAATAGATATTTATCATATTATAGAATTTGCTAATTAGGATTTTTAGATCCACTTTACAACAATAGATGTTGTTCGTTTCAAGATGGCCCAGTTCAATGAACTATCTGAGGATGAAAAAGATGCTGATGAAGAAACAGTACAGGCTAAGAAACCAGTTATTGGTCCTGTCACTATTTGGATTGGTGTCATCTCTGAGTCTACCTCTGCCACAGCTGCCCATGATGCAGCTCAGGACATTCTAGCCCTTCTCAAGGACTATCAGATCACTGATGTTGATGTTGACTTCTGTGAGTCCTTCTATACATGTGAGGCTAGTCCTCAGCTTCTTGAACCTGTCAGTGATCTGGACTCACTTGTCAATGGATGTTACAATTTTTTCAATTTATTTTATCTTTTATCTTATCTTATCAGAGCATCTATCTAATCACAGGCACTTACAGATAGGCATGGGATGATTATACAATCACAATAAGCCACACTATTATTCTGTAAACAGTGATAGTGTCTCAATGGTAGACAATACCTCATTGTTCCACCCCCAACAACCAGAGGTGACAAGGACTATAGCACAGAGATGCACAATTAATAGGACTATATTTATCAAAAGGCAAAATGTATATAAGTAGCTTAGCTCTTGCTGTAGATACCCAGCTTCAAGCTAAAGTTTATTCTATATCATCTTCTCTTGACCCTAACTTGTCTAAATGTCTTGGAATACATTGGCTATATAACACATATAGTGAACTGATGTGACTGTATGAAGACAATACAGCATCAGTTTATCACATGTTTAAGTCATGTGCACTTTGGGTCTAACAATGTCATTAGTCCTCTCACTTCCACTCTTGGCCTGTTAGACCTGCTCAACACATGACTAGAACACATGATAAACTAATGCTGCATTGAGTTTGTATAGTCACATTAGAGTCCACTATTATGTGTTCAACTTGGTGCAAACCAGGCATTCACAGAACAAGCTTGAGAGAGATAAGTGGTATGAATAAACTTTAGCTTGAAGCTGGAGTATTACAGCAAGAGCTATCATACTTATATACTTGTCTGTAATAATAAATACAGTTCCTGTACTATTATGGCTCTCTGCATTGTGACACTATGGTGTCTGATTGTCAGATATGAAACAAATGGATGTTGTCTGTTGTTAAGGCATCTTTGATATTATTGTCATGGTTTACCTATTGTGTCCATCTCCATCATATGGCAATTATCCCACAATCCTAAGTGCTTAATGATAAGCTAGGTGCCAGATAAGATAAATAAACATAAAAAATCATAACAATTGTCTAAGCATCTTGATATCAATAATGACATCAAAGACCATTTTTTTCTGTGACTTCTTTTCTTTCTTCTATGCTCCTTTATCTATTGCTTGTTTGTTAGTGCAGATGAATGCTTTGACTGCTGGTGGATTGCTGTTTAGGTTTATCTTTATTTTTCATCTTGTCTTTTCATACTTGATGTCTAAGGCTTGGACTAGTGGACTTGTCATTTCAGTTTGTCTCATTTCTTTACTCTCTCTCCTCATGCAATTGATGGCCTTCATGTTCAGATTCCATATGACTTGACATAGTTTACTGGACTATCAGACATGCTTGCCAATTTTGAGTGGTATTTAGTAGGCATTGACACATCTTTACTGTAGCTTCTTATTCTTCAGACCCTTACAACTTCACCACATACTATTTATTCTCCTCTCCACTCATCTATACCCATTGTTCATCTATCCTTCTCTGTCTATCCCCAGTTGTGTTGTGTACCCCCCCCCCCCTATATACCCCATTCCCACTCATCTTATATCTCCTCTTACATGTTGAATGAACATTGTTGACTTTGTTGTTTAAATCACACATGATAAAACAAAGTTCAATATGTGGGTAAGGTTGACTTAGGCACTTATTAGTGCTCTAGTGCTGAGTGGGGCTTAGCTTTATTCTTGTTGATGACTTTGCCATTGTGACTTGCTTATTTTCTTTTTTATATACTAGATGAATTTTCCATTTTACATTTTCATGCATGCATTTGCTTGTGTTGATTTGTGTTTTATTGATGATCATTTGTGTTCTTACCAATGCATTCATGACATCAAAAGTACATGTTAGTATATATGATTGCAGAGGAAATATTCACATCAGAAAGTTTTCAATCTCTAAAAACTCTTACAACTGTTATGAACAGACTAAAGTGCTGATTTAACTGTTTGAGACCTAATAATGATAAATTTCCTGCCCAACAGGTCTCCCTAGCCACTCCAATAGCATAGTTCCACAATAATTGTGTTAGAATATTAATGGAACCCCCAATGCAAGGCCAGAAATGTGAATGCATGTTAATGATGCTAAAGTCTTTGCTGAAGTTGACTGAAAAGGTACCATCTATTCTGACAGACCCAGGCTAGAAACAGCTGGTGAGCTTGTTGGATATGTGAAGACAGTTGTCCTCCTCTGGTATAACATGTGCTTTCACAATTGCCTGTTCAGTAGCAGGCAAATAAGAATTGCCATCAGATGGAAAAGTCAGTATGCAAAAAAGCCTTTGCATGTCTCTTAGGAGTATGTGGTTCATATTTCCCATTTCTTTTGAATTTCACACGTTTCAGGCCCCTTGACGGCCATGTGAAGGATCGGATGCATAGCAAAGGTATGACAGCCTCTCGATGCTCTCATTCTGAGATTCTTTGTCAGGCGCGTTGCTCGAATCGACGATAATACAGGGACTCACTCTGCTTACGAGCACACAGAAACACCGATTGGATTGCAATTCGGATATTCCGACATTGGATCCAAGTTTCGGCCCTCTTGCAACGGGTTCACGCTGTGTGTTCGATATTCCGTTCACTTATAATGCTTGACTTCTAACGCGTATAATTCTGTGTAGTTATGTCTACAGGGTCTCTGTGTAACGAATGTCTCTTCTTTTATCTCCCTGAAGCCAACGCGTATGATCATGTTGATGCGACTCGGATTACCGAAGCGATCATGCGGCAACGGGGCCATCAACACATGCTCACCCTGCGTAAGCGCCAGGCAGTCTTCTCTTCTTCCTTCACTGCGTCCACGATGGTTTCTCAAGACTTCGCAGCCAGATGTCATCCGACCTTCAATACTCCAGGCGCCGACGCCGTTCTATCTTCGCTAGACGATACTTTATACCGACTGCCATCATTCGTCTTGCGAAGGTCGACCGCGTTCTTCGCTTCGAGCTCCTTCACTTTCGGACGAGACAGCGAGCCGATCCCCATCCATGAACACGATGTTGTCTTGGAGCGACTGCTACGTATTATCAGCGGGCTCGAGATCCCGCCTTGGCGCAAATTTGATGACCTCGAGGGTGTGCTCAGCCTAGCTGATGCCTGGGGAGCCAGAAGTGCGGTGGACATTATACGCGCATCTATCACTGCCCCCGTGTTCCTGAGAGAACCACTCCGGGTGTATGCGATAGCAACTAGATTTGGGTGGGAGGAGGAAGCGGAGCTCGCGTCGAAACATACTCTATCCTTGTCTCTCCACGAGGAGCAGTACCAGGAGGCGCTGCAGCGGATCCCGACGCGGTCGTTGGTCAAGTTGTTCAAGCTGCACCGGAAGCGGAGGGATGAGTTTCAGATGGGTATGGCATGGGACGCGAGTTGTAAGGGGTGTGGTGAGTCTGTCGACGGGTCGGCGTGGACGGCGCTTGTGTGGAAGATGTTCTGGGAAATGGATGCGAAGTCGTCGGGGGATAGGCTTTGTTCGTTGGAGGTTGAGGAGTGGCCGGAAATGCTGGCATGTTCGGAGGTGAAATGTGCTGGATGTGGAATGGCGGTATATGATAGATTGGAGGTGATGGAGAGGGTGAGGAAGTGTTTGGCTGATTTGCCGGATACGATATAGACGGGTTCGGTTCGAGAGATTCATTCATCATTTTTAGTTTTCCCTGAGGTATTCTTGCACAGCATACTCGTGAGGGAGTACCGCAGAAACTCCTAATGTTACCATGGATATACTCGGTGCGCATCATTTTTCGTTGCAGTCTCCAAGACTGAGAATCATGCATAGCCATCCATCAACATATCATTGTATACATTTAGCAAAGGTGAGTATATTATGATGTCTCTGTACGCCCCGCTGATGGACAGCATCTAGTATAACCTAATATTACATATAACCTACCAAACGTCCAGTCCTATATGGCATTGGCTCGATATCCTGCATGATGCATAAGGCCGTGCTCGCCGCAAGAATACCAGATACAATGCTGGTTCTAAGAAATATCCGAAGAACCGCAAGATGTCGTACAGGCCAATTAGAAATGACGTTTGACTGGACAATATCTTTGACCTTGGTATTCTTCATAGCTCCTGGCGCGTTCCAAGGCGACAGCTGCTCTTTATTTCATGTACCCTTCTCTCTCTTTCAAATAAATGTGTAATGACCGACTTGTCCCCTTGTCTTTCCACATGCAAGATGGTTCGATGCGCCTGTCACCCTAGTTGGCGTTGTCTTCTTAGGATAGCTGTTCCTCATGTTGAAAAATGATCAAACTTTTCCGCTACATGCTTGAACTCTGCTTCTGTGATACTGGTTAGTCAGCATTTCCGAGGCGCTCTGCCTTCCCTCTATCCACCATGGGTATTGGCCTCGGCAGAGGGCTTGGAAGCAACGCTGAATGAGGTTTGTTCCGCCTAATGTAGCGATTAGTTCCCCCAGTGAAGGTTTTATCATAGCGAGCGCCGTAACTTGTATCTACCACGGACACCGGTGTTGAGCGATCCATGAACAATGCATGCCAGGAGAGCATAGATCACCTGTAACGCCCCAATATAGCAGCGTTAACACGCGTTTTCCTTTTTCTTGAACACCGTTCAGATGAGGCAATGTCAGGTGACTAGGACACTTTTTCATATTGTCGACTCGACACGAATTCTTTGTGTTGTGACATCTAGGTCTTCACCCTAGTGCTTGTCGAGAAACTCGAAGCTTCATCCACCTGTGAATTATGCAGCTGTTCGGCTGTGGTAACGTCTTGGTAGAATGACCCCAGCAAAAGGCTGCAAGCAAATATTCATTTCCTTGACCTTTAAGGTACATCTAGTTATATTAGATGCATTCACGATGTAATTGTTAACATATGGTTTTCCAGTTTGCAATCCACGTATCACGATCGCGTTCGAGGTCCGATTACCCGCCGATGGCATGTGGAGGAGTTTCAAATGTAAAGCCTTTCTCTCAGAGTGTGGATTATCCAGCGTCTAGTACCTACTAAATCGTAATCGCAGAAGTCTGAGTGCACCAGCGGCAGGTTATTCCGCAAAGGGCATGTCAAATCGTTGCTGTAGCCGTTCTGGGTTATTTCTTGAACTTCATGTACTGAATCAGTTCGGGCAGGTTGGCTTCCTACACGCAGAACGCCCGCCGTAGTTCTTGATACGTGGAAGCAACGGCGGCTCGGATTGGAAGCGGAATGAAGGTTGGTATGGCATGGCATGAAATGCCGTGCGGATTCAGCCGCGATCGTAGAAACACGTGATCTCCCCCTCCCCCTCTGCTTTTGCTCCGCCAGCAGCAGCGAGCGTAGATACGGAACGCCTCGTTCGTGGATCTCCCGCCTTTGTACAAATAAAGCTGTTTCTTTCTCTACCCACCCACCCCCACCAATAAGAGCAAACCGAAATGGACACACAGACAGCAAAGTAGTCCAAAGAACTCTCGCAGCCGAGACGAAAGGAGACAGATACGGTAAAAGGTTGTCGTTTCAGCACAGGTTCGCCTCACCACTGGGATTCCGTACGATCTTCAGGAATTCTCTCCTCACACAGTTCGTGTTGTTAGAGTCTCCATTGTGCTAGCCCGTTATCAGATTACCACACCGCACGTACACGCTACAATCCTCCTCTCGCTAATGTAACAAGATCACTGTCAACTTATACCGCTATGAATTCTTCATTTCAATTTATCTATAAGTTTCTTCATGGTCTTCACAGGATAAAGAGCCACCATACTGATGCCTTGTACGGTATGGACGAGACGACGATGCGTCGTCCCAAAATTAATGTACTCCTACGACCCAAGGGCAGGAACTAGTTCGCCTTGGTTCATTTAAATAGTCTCGTTCATCGCTTCAATGTCTGACTGCAGATGCATACAATGTCGCGGCGCGTTTCCAAATTGCTAAATACCAAGAATGGAATTTGCATTGAAAAGCAAGTAAAGAGAACAGACAAACAAAGCCACTGTGAATTGGACTTGAAATGGTTCTTTTCGCTATGGTTGTGAGACATATGTGCATCAGATCTTCTTTCGTGGCCTATAATAGAGGACAGATCGTCCATGCTTCCTATCGATAAAGTCCAAGAATACGCGCAGCGACTTTACTGGCAAGATATATTGAATATATGACTGCCTGGAGATAGTCTCTCAGCGTGTACAATCCACAAGCGACTGGCTGTATTAAGTGTAGTTACGAGTAAGCGCATACAGTTCAACCGTCGCGGATGATATCCAGGATCCTTTTCCTCAGTCGGTTTCTACATACAGCGTGCAAAGTCGAAGTGCTAGTAATACGAAACTCCTCGGACTTGCGGTGATAACCAGGTACGGTAAGATCGTCATCGAGAAAATCAAACCGTACTCGTCTCGCAGAAATCCCTCACACTTACGCGGGAGAAGCTGCGCTTTTCTTGGAGTGCATGTGGCCAATAATCATCAGAGAAGCAGAATACAAATAACCCGTTTGCGGCATGAACGCCCGCGACGTAAGTCCGTAGATTAGACCGCTTCAATAGTAGAGCCTCTGGCCATATGGTTGGGACCGGGTCCACAGGATAAGCATTCGTTCCGAATCATGATAGAAGGTCCACATTCGAGCACTTTTCCTAACCATTGAATAGAGCGGGGAAAGACATCTGATGAGTCAATAAATACAGGAGAAATGCATGGTGCCATCTGGCTTAAGGATTATAACGCCACCGATGTACTTCATTATGAATCTTTGGGAAAAGGTGCGACTTAGCTATCCTTCATTTGCAAAAGAGTGCATCATACTGATTCTCTTTGCCTGGTTGCCAGCCTTATGCCGTTGAGCTAAAAATAACAATCAGCAGTCATGCAGTTTGACTACGCAGATATTCTATAATACTTATCCTTCAATGCGCGGCGGCAGCGCGCCCTTTAATGCGTCAAATATCGTCTTTCTAGTTAGATATAAGATGTCCGTGTCCACAGAAATAACATACACCGTTCCTGATCAGGACCTTGCGCCGATTGCCAGTGCCAGTGCCGAAAAGCCTCTCCTGTAAGGACCGAAAATCACAGGTTACACAGATAGGAGAGTCTGGCACTCCTGGTAAGAAAATATTTCGGTTCAATCAGAAACTGACGAAATGGGTGGATAACAAAAGAAAATTTGTCGAGGCATCTTGAACAGCGTCCACTGTCGAGAAACAAATCTGTTTCAATCCGTAAGCTTCCAGGAAAACTTGAACCTCAAAGGTAATCACGACGCATTTTTTTGTGGAGAATGCCTGATAAAAATTCTATCTATATTCCAATCTTTCTCCCTTGCATTCCGACTCGGCAGAGTGGTCAGTGCCACCAACAGTGTCCGTCGAAAGTGTCAGTGACTCTGGACTCTCTTAGCGGCTGTGCATGTCACATTATGGCCAACCTGTCCGGACTCCGCAAATCGCAGCACGTCATGTCTTCTTCCACTGATTCGATTCTACTCACTGATTCTTGGTGACTATTTTCTGCTACCAAGATACTACCTGTCACTCACTGAAAATGGTCTAGAGAGATCTGGGCATGGCACGGCTTTCCTAGGCTGACACTTAACTGACACCAATGGAAAGAGTCCGAGCCTGAGGAACAATTTCGCCGTCTGCCGACCCCCATTCGCTTCTATGTATTACAATCGAGTTGAGCTGCAGGATATTTCTTTATGCAAGCCTTTATCCAAGAAATATCATCTCGTAAAACTATCTGACGGATAAATCAGAATTTATTGTAGTGTCTGTATCCTCACTCTACTCACCCTCATCCCCTCCCATGTACAAGGGGTATATGGATATATTTTCGTCTGGCTAACCATTTTAGCCTATTAGAATGCTAAATTTGTGCGGCCGGATGTTTCTTTTTAAAATTACACATCACGAACCTGTTCTCTAGACTCTGTCAGTCCTGAATTCTCTCCGTTGGGAGCGTTCGCACGGTCCGGTTCCTCCGAGATCACGTGTTACATTGCCGTAGATTCCCGCTTGTCCGTAGTTATAACCGAGACTATCACTATCCATTGCCGATTCCCTCTCTTGGACCTAGCGATACGGTTCCACCGTCTTTACGTTTTATTAGTATATCGAATGGACTATATCAACATTTATTACGTGTTAATCCGGATTCCTCATTCGATTGCGGAAGGCCGAAGATGACTATCAATGTCACATCGTCAAGTATCATTGATGTCTCACCCACGATGCCGAAATGTAGGTGGCAGTAGGCGTATACTTCTCCCACAAAACGGCTTGATATCCCTGAGACTGTCACTGCCACCGTAAATCCCTATCCTCTCCGCATCTTTCGCACTTGTCAAACCACAGCGCCCAAAGCGTTATCCCTGCAGGCCCGACCCCTTCTGATGCAAAGCACTAGTCTCTCTCGGATGTTCGCTAATTCCCTCCCAGAATACAGTACTCATATATTTTACTAATGCATTTACGGCCTCTATTGCTCGTTCCACATGACTGGGCTCTCATATAAAACATTTTTATATACGGAATGTCTTCGGAACTTCCGACACTTCGGTGACTTCCTGAGGGAAGTGAAAGGCGAATGTGCCCTCCCCTTGGGCACTCAATTACAGAATTGTATCCTTCAAGCGGTTCCGAGAAGATCTAGCTGACTCTATGATCCACGGTCCACATTATGCCCGCGGAAAGATCACATACTAGATCTCGTTCGAATTTAAAAATTTCACGGATTGTAAATTCTGGTCTACGAGTAAGGAACATTCATCCAACGGTAGATTCGGCTCCTGCCCCGATGATCTTGATTTCTGATATTCATCCTTCTCCCAGCCTCTGGCGAAGTTCACATCAAACTTTTTTTTGCACGGCCCATTTTCTTGGATCTTGTTGATATCAATATGGTCACCCGTGGGTGGGTCATTGGACCTCGGGTTGGACAGCCAAAATAAACGCACACCGAAGGCAGGATCGGAGACCTGGAGGAGGATAGAAGGAACAGGGAGCCAGGGGTTCAGTTTAGTGTCACGTCGATGTTCGTTGTTTGAAAAGGGCCTATCTCGAGAGAGCCCAGACAGGAAGTCGTATTCAGTATTTGTAAATAAAATTTGGCTGACTTTCTGCGAACAATGAATAGAAAGGTATGTGTATTTGTGAGGGCTATATGCCACATCTTGCTAAAGTCAATCATTCACCCGGGATGCTACAGGCACCGGACCCATGCTATAAAAGATAGAAGTCAAGGTCTGGATCATCAGAATACGTTATGTCTCAGACTTGGCTGGGGGGAGAAGGATTGGCCGAGAGAAACTCCACTCCATACTAGTTTTCCATGCTCTATTCAGGAACGATAAATTTGTTGAAAAACAATTGTAGGTTAATACTACAGCTCGTGGTCCTCGAATTGTCTAGAAGACCTCCGGGATAAGCATATCTGTGTGAAGTTAGCTGTTTGTGGAATGTGACGGCGTTGGAAAGCGTAAACCTATCCCACTTGCCTTGGGACCTTGGTTCGCTTCCAGTGAATGTGCGATTATGTATGACGGACGCATATGTCGGGGGAAATTCGTGAGGTCAACAACGTCATTCCAGGCACAGTAGAGACAGTTAAACCTAAAATCCTTCACAGAATTTTCTCGACGTTGGAGCCTCCGCACCAAACTGCCTCAGCACGGAACAGTAGTCAGTGAAGTTAGGCAAATTGGACGTTGAAGAATAATAATAGAATTTATCTCTAACACCCGGTCCAGATTTAACCGCGGATATAATTACAAAAGGAAAGCACAAATCCCGGACCAATTTTCCAGCTTAAGAATGGGAATAAGTATCAGGGCATACCTTGGAGAAAAAAGGATGAGCTGCATAGCTCACAACCAGAGTGCAACGTATTTGAATATTATGATCCATCCTCTCGAAGCAAGAACAGCCTTGGCTGTGTTCCGTATCGTGTTCACCTGATTCGCCTTGTGTTCTCATCAATGTTATGGCCGGAAAACAGCATGTCTTGAAGGTTTCTATGCTGAACCGGGCGGAGGCATTTGTTCCGATTACTGATCTCACCATATTGACCTTGACCTTGTCATCTTGGCGGCAACTTGGTCGTAAACTGTCCAAACATATGAAAGGTTTCTAGTGAACACGAGTTTCAATTTTGTGCTCGATTGCTGCGCGGTTACCTTGGAACGTGTTTCAGAGCGACCAAGATCGACCAGTACGGAAAAACAAGAACTATCAGCACAAGTTAAATAAGACCTATATTTGATAGAAGAAAGCTAAGAAAAGGCTCTTAAGACCTTGCTAAAGTAAAGGCTGGGACTTACGGAGATAAGAGCAAGTTACCTGAGCCAAATATTCTTCGAAGTATTGTGTCCGAGAAGTTGCAAGGGAAGTTCTTCGACGAGCCAGACTGCTCGATAATCTTGCCATGTTTGATAAAATCCTCAGCGGCTCGGAGAAGAAATTCCGAGTTACGTAAGGATTCCCTCCAAAGAGCAGAGTTTGGCAACATAAATCAAATAGCTGGTCGTCCAACGGTGCCCTCTGATTATCTCGGAAAGGTCGCGCAGGCGACGTTAAGTTGAAAAATAGAGTAGCGGTGTGGCAGTCCAGCAGAACTTTATGTGAGATATAGCACAAAAAATTCTTCATGGTCGGAATCATCACTGACACCGTTACTCAACGTTCAATACATATCTTCACATCCTGCTGCGCCGCTGTCATGACTATGCTCCTTTCTGTGGAGATCCTCAGCTGACCTCCCAAGCCCGACGCCACCAGCCCCCCGTAGACGAGGCCTTTCAGATTTCTTTACTAGGCGCCGGAATGTCCTTTTGAATTTCTAAGCAAACCAGGCAACTAGACGCGATGCTGGATGGGAAATATAGACAAGTGCTCTGCAGGTCCCTCAGACGGCGCTTTTTACCAAGTATTCAAAAATCACAACCGCTACTTCGCCCACTTTCCAGCCCCTTCCTTCTGCTGACAATACCGTGATTTGTCCAAGCTGCGCACTTGAAAACATTCTTCGATAATACATGATTGGTAGATATTCTTGTTCTGAAGGCGCACAAGAATCCATTTGTTTATCTATTCTTGTCATTATTACATCAAGGACCGCTTCCCCAATCTCGTGCTTCGTCCAATTCGAATTTCATAGGCTACCCGAAGGCGGTTCGACTCAGACCTCCGAGTCTAATCAAACTGCGCAAACTGTTCACCGGCCTCATCTGAGGGAAGTCGTCCGGGAACGGTCTAGTAACAAATCCGGCTTTCCCCTTCAATTCATCTTACTTCTTAACCCGTTTTAGGCATCAGCATAGAGATCCCGAAACTTTTCTTCCCGGTATATGGCCCGTCAGCTGAGTATGTCCTAAAAATGTGCGTCACTGGAAATGATAAAAGGGCAAGGGACGTTTCCTCAGTCAAGTTCCCAACTCGTACTTACGCCCTCTCGCCCTCTACTACTAATCTATGTGCACATCATCATCATCCTCTATCCCAGTCCCGGGACACGAATCTTCGTATACGAGACTGTCCTCGAGTACATTGGAGCCGACCGGTAGAACCAACGAGCCCCAGTGCTGTCATTGTGGGTGGAGGGGCTCTCACGCTCCAGGATGCCCTTTCAAGTCATGAGTTGAATCCCAATTCCGTGCGCTCTTCTATCTTCTTCTTTAACCTCGCTTATCGCCACCCCTCGTCATCAGACACCTCACTACGTTTTGACAAGAATCGCTATATTTCTTTTCTGTTATCACTATCTTCTTTTATCCTGTTGTACACTTGTTTTCGCACGCTATTTCCGTCCCTGCCCTTCTTCTGTCGTTATTTATTCCATATCTTAGAGTTGTAATAACGTCAATTTTGTCCTGCTGCGAACTAATAGTACAACTGTATTGAGCCCGAGATCGTACCTGTTTATTTCATTTTGAGTTCTTCTATTCGTCAAACACTACTTGGAACACACGAAGAAAACTCCCTGTGAGCATTTTCCCACAGGCCGCTATTCAGTTCAAGTTCGATTTATCTCCGAAGAAGAAATGTCCTTGATCTGTGGTTCGCCTCCCAACTCGGCACTCGGAGCAAGAACCTAACCAGAGAATACCGGCGAGTTGCCCTCAGCTCCGCAATCGCCATGGCCATAATCGAGCCAGCCTTCACCTACCCTTCGACGCACTCTGGGCGTTACCTACTGGGCTACTAATTACCGCGACAATCCGTTCTACCAGTACATCCACATGACAGATTCTCGAGGTTATTGAGCCCTTTTGAATTCAAACGCTACTCTAACTAAAACATTCGCAGTCGGACTCCCTACACGATAACCGATTCCCACACTACTCATTATGCTACTAATTACTGGCCCAATCACGCCACCAGATTACGAGGTGTTTGGGTCCTTTCGGATTTGGATTCTACTCTAACAAACGAAAAGCCAATTCCCACACTTACTGTCCCTCAACCCTTTTGTCGTCAGTGTTTTTTTTCGGGCCGGGAGCAGAAATATAGGAGCCAGATACTCCAGTCTCGTTCTAAAAATGAAATGCCGTGCACAGTTGATTCCAGGTGGAATGGGTTTCAGGGTCGTCCTCAAACCTGGCGTACAGCAACTTCTATAATTATTATTCCACCAGACTGACCGAATTTGTATTCGCGGAGACAGCCCGCATCTAAATATACGTTCGTGATGAGAATAGGAAACGCAGCAGAAATAGTTTTTCAGAACAACGACATCCCTCGAGATCAATTATTCTCAAGGGCAATATATACTCAAGATTAAAGTGACACTGTCAGTCGTATCTACGCCATGAAGGAAATACCATATTGTGCTTTGCACCACCAGTGCCATGGAGGAGGCCTACGGAGTATATGATAACTATAACTGAGGCGAGGATAATTGATAGCAAGAGCGAAATACAGCAGAAATAGTCTTCCACAGTGACGATCTTACAGGGCAATTTTCATATATCCCCCATGGTGATATCGGCGCTTTGCGCGGATTCCTGCGCAGTGAAATCCAAGTCCGTAACAGAAGAAACAATAAAGGATAGAATCAATTCAGTCTCCGTAAGGGAGTCGTCCTCGAACTGAGATGTCAATAATAATCAGAACCCGAGTCCCATACAGCGCACATGCCTACAGCTTCGCATTCACGCTAGGGTTCTGCCATACCGGGAGCCGTTTCTATTGTTCGATATGTCAGCATCACTAGGTCAAGAAAGATACAAAGCTCACTTCAATAAACGCCCTCAAGCCCTCCTGGTACAAGGTCAGCTAGACATGGATAGAAATGAAAGACGAAATTGCCTTCAAGTTTTCTCCGCCAATGAAAAGCCCACTACTCTCTGAACTCCATGCTGCATTCAACACGGAGCGATTGCTGCCTTCAGCGAGAATGAGCGCTCTCTTCGTAGCTTGTACCGAATCGGGAGAGCATCTCTCGACTAGTTCCTTGGCATATCCGAGGGCTGTCGGCAAGACAGAAGATGGAGGCGTTAAGGTATTGATACTAATCACAGACAACATCAGAGAAAAAAATAATTGATAAGCCCGAACAGTGACTCACAAACCGAACCTCTCATAACCTTCCTTTGCCGTAATCGTCTTACCAAGGAGCAGCATCTCACTAGCTCGCTAAGAAAATGACGGACATTGAGCGCGAACCTCCACTAATGTGAAGCGATCAAGTAAATACCTGATGTCCAGCAATCTGTGTTAACCGAGGTATACCTGAAAATACAATGAAGATCAATGAAGCCAATCAACCCTGGTCGACGCAACGCACCTCCTTGAAGAGCCCCTACACCCCTCCTCACCTCCGGCAAAGCAAACTTTGCATTCTCATCTGCGACGACAAGGTCGCAATTTAACAAAATCTCCATCCCCCCACCGTATGCACCGCCATTAACAGCAGCAATGATAGGTTTGGCAGTGAGTCTTCTAGAGATACTCGCAAATCCAAACTTATTCGCACTGATATCCGCCTGATCGGTCGACGGAGCAGAGACAAGACGGCTATCCCACCCCTTCAGATCCGCCCCAGCACAGAACATGCGTCCAGCCCCTGTCAAAACCAGAACCCTAAATTGACGTCAGAACGGAACCAAAACTGAGGAGAGGACAGACCACAGCTTGGTCTCGCGCTCAAACCAATCGAGTACGGTGCGCAGCTCATCCGCGAGCTCCACGGTGACCGAATTGAGGGCATCGGGACGGTTCAGGGTAAGCAGGAGGACGTGGGGGGAGGGGAAGCCGAGGACGAGCTCTGATGAATGAGGGGGTTGCGAGGGCATGGTGGGGAAAACGGATAATGGATGATCACACTTTCTGATCGGTTGATCGGACATCGGACCGGGGTACCGAGCACAGGATGACTCGGACCCTTTTTGGTAACAACTTGGTAATTGAGCAGCAAACTCATAAGGCACTCCAGAACGTAGGAATTTTTTATCTTAACTAGGGAGTGCATTATTCCACCCCAGCTCCCTGGTTACTACCCGTGAATTTTTTGTTTTACTAAGCCTTATCGCATAATCAGAGATTCCCTCTCCTCTGTCTTGCGTTCCAAGATGACCTCGTGAGTTAAATATTCAGTTTTTATGCTAAAGTCCGATCCAGCGTGCCCTGTATTCGACGAAGAAAGTAAGGCTACTTGACAGCTGATGCGAAGCTGAGTAAGTCGACGAAAAAGAACAATCAGAATGAAAGCGACTGTCTCATACATACAGAAACATTGGAGCATCGAGGAGGACCCCGAGTATGTGATGTCGACCTGACGCGATACAAGACCGGCAGGCATTACACCCGCAGCCGGCGGAAGTCGTCAGTCCCAAAGCCGGCCGCAGGGACAGGAAGGCTGGCAGATAAAACGACCTTCCGTCTCAATCAAGAGTGGTGTTGAAAATCATATACCAGAAAGGGTCATACTTAGAGACGGATCGGCGAAGAATATAATTCACATCTTATAACCTGTTATTCCGATGCAATGGCCGAGATCCATTCGTCGTCCAGAGAAATCATAGAGATATACCTTTATTGGTCGTCCAAAAGTGCCGGTGGTCAATGGAGAAAGAGCCTGTATATGCGTGGAACAAATAATCTCACGAGTACGCTGGCAGTCGTATCATCAGATGCTTGAGAAGAGCTCGTCGTGATGTGAATTGATGTTTCCCTGCTAGCAATACCTCAGAGGCATCCCAATAAATCGGATACGGATGCTATAAGCACTTTGAGTACAGATACTATGTTCGTGGCACCGTTTCGGTGGGGTGGAGTTGTTCTCATAACTGCAGCTCTTCCTCGATAGTGCTGGGAATGTTGAATAGAGGGCTTGGCGAAGGGGAGTGGAATTCATTTCATTGTGGGGATAGAAGAATAGCACTTAGGTTGATAACGGATTTGTACTCTGCACCGGGCGAATCTGAGAATAGGGAATAGGGACGCGGGATAGGAATTCCTACCCATGAAACTGAAGTGCCGTCAATGACTGGAGGTAGGTTTCACAATACGGAGTTGACTATCCGAGGTCAGAATACCAAGGGAGACAAATTTGGACGACCGGTCCTCAGTCACATTCAGATCTGTCCTTGGAAAGCGGGAGATCAGGTCGGAGTCGAGAGGTTGTGGATTTGTATTCATACCTTTTTATGGGAGCGTACTGGAGTCGTAATTTCCACCTGTTGGGACAGAGATATCAACTAAATTACATCCGGGAAGATTCGTGATGAAAGGTCTTTCGCGGTCAAAATGGAATCAATATTGAGAGCTATGAGAAAGAAAGAGAAATGAAAGGATGATATTGTGAATGAGACTCAGTATTACAATGGACATAGACGGGACTTCGTTCCCAGACGAGTCTTCCTGATGTCGCCTTCGTCAAACAGACCCGAGTATACAAAGAATCCGTGAAGATTATCTACTCCATAATGCATGCTATTGGTTAAATCGATACAAACAGAAGGGAACACTCACAAGGACCACTATAATAATAACGTTCGGTGATAAAAAGTGAGCAACGAACGATTCTTGTACGTTCCGGTCTATACACGAGGATGAGAAGCATGCTACTCAACCAAGGCCCTGATTTCAAGAGATCAGGGTCACACATGCAGGCTGTGGTTTACAAACTCACTGCTCTGAGAAGAAACTCATGAAGCACCATAAGGACCAGAGATTCGCCAGCGAAAATTAACACATTCCATATCCTCGTTCGTTCAAGCGCTGAGAGTAACTATGCTGGAGCGTATGTAAATAACGAGCAGCCGAATTCCTTTGGAAAAGAATATCATCTGCACGAAATATCTAATTGCATGTCATGTGTTCGTTACTACAGAGACATTAGCAATGCTTACTGTTGGGCCTGAATCAGTTTCCAATCCTCTTCACCGAAGGTAAGTATGAACTTACGGCGTCGGGAAGTATCCGTGAGAAGAGTTTGCTGACAGCGGGAGCGTACGTGGGAGAAGGCGGATGCGGATTCAGATCGTAGCACGTGTCTGTTTAGGGGCAGGTAGACATAGAGCGCACGTCTCCGCAGCTAGACGACACAATCAATCCATTCCACCTACCATAGTCTGTGAGGCGTTCCAACAGTTGGATCCATCTCTGGATGTCGGGACTTCAGCCAAATTCCGTTCGAGAGAAATCCTAGACAAGAAACCCATTGCGCAGATCTCCAGTACCTATCCGTCCGCGTTCACGAGAGACGGAAGCGCTTACTTTCCAGTATCGTACTTTGCGGAACTCTGGTCCAAGGTGTGACGTTACATCGTTAGCGATGAAATTCGTGGTTGTCAAAGGAATATCCAACATCGGAACCATCAGTGTACCCACTGAGACTGCCATACAACCATGAACCGAGCGCTGAACTCACACGTGTCAAATCTAGGCTTCTGTTGGTTGTTTTCTGATCGTGTGAAGTGGTAGTGGTAACAGGTACAACTGTATATTTTAGCACATCATCAAGGATCTAGGATCAAGGACAGGGCGATCAGGGATGGGGTGAATCAAGTTAGCCAGGGAAACGGAGGACCACGACCACGCTACCGATCGTCATAGAATTTACACAGAGTCGAGAAAGGCCTGTGCGATTGAAAGGTCTTGCGTCGAGGTGTCGAACACATAGGTGGCACTCTTGGACCCAGGTGATAGATCAAGGGCTGGACTCTGCAAAGAGCGACATTAGGAGCGAAAAGTCAGCGAATTGCTCCGTGGCACGCGCGCGTGAACTCCGCTAAAACCAAACAAAAAAACGCTCACAGAAACGAGAACAACTGCCGCAGGCTTTCCCCGCACTTGGTCATTTGAAGCCAAGTCCGAGTCGGAATCGTCCATTCTCGTATGATTGGTGACATTCGCGGGAAAGAATCACACCGAAGGGCTTTATACCTGGTTTTAGAAGTGAATTGAAGAGGGACATGAACTTGAAGATAAGTGAAGATCGGGAGCAGAGCCTTTATCCCACAATGCTGGGAGATGACCATCAGCAAGGGTAAACGGCTAGAAATCAAGGAACGTACAAAGGGGCTGCTTGCACCGAGAGGAAAGCATCATAACTGCATCTACGCGAGGTTCGCGGGATACTGCCTGAAGAAGGACGGACCATGCGGCTCCTGGGGTGCCGGTTTTCATGTTAGCCCTCCTAAGCTCCATAGCTGCAGGCTTTACATATCAGATAATCAGTTCAACATACAGATAAAGCCCAATGGTCTCATCAAAGAGACTCGCGGTTGGCAACATTTGAAAAGAATGTAGATTATCCCTGTACCTCCTATAGTCGGAGAAGGACACAGACATAGCCTTCTTACTGGAGCTCGAGCTTCAAACCCAGAGGTAGGGTAGGGATCATTCACTGACACGGCCCAGTGACAACGAGATCAAAGAGCGGGTTCTCGAGCCTCCGTGATGGCAACCACCGCAGCATCTGTGATTCAGAAGAGGACAGCTTTTTGGTCTGTACATCGAAGAAACCATTAGTGAAACCGGTGATGCTGATCGTCCGCGCCCCAGATCACGGAGAGACTAAAACGGTCTTTGAGTGCTGAAAGAAAGGACATTGAATAAGATCAGGCAAGACCAGGGGACATACGTAGCGGAGACCTTCTGGGAGACCCATAGTTTTGGCACTGATCCGGAAGACTGGAGAGCGAAGCCTGTCATCGCCCCTTCCTTAACTCTGAGGAGCAATAAAGCCTGGACGGGATAGTAAGGGCGTGTCGGCATATATCCTAGCTAAGCCTAGTGTTCGACTAGACAGTTGCGACTTGCTTATAAGGAGTTCCGGAAAACCCCACCCTTAGGGTCGACCGATGAACCAAAGCCCCGCAGCTGATGAATTACAGTCGTCCGCGCCATCTTCTCACTACACCAAAACATCTGTGCCAAGGCCCTACCTCCAAACCAAAAGACATTCATACAGCAAGCCGAGACCAGCACCCTACTTGGTTCGATTTTAGGACTCAGAAGAAGGGACCGTCGCCGAGAAATCACAACAGTCAGGGACGACGAGAACTGAACAAAAAACAGAAAAACCACATACGATCAAAACGCGAAGAAGGAGACGGAAAGAACGAATTAACATATCAAACTTGCTGCGCCAAGAAGTCATTCATTTTCCGAAGAGAGGGGGGTGGGGGGAACTGTTTCCTGAATGTCATAAAAGGAGTTAGCACAGCATCATCCCAAACGAAGAACAACACCCAAGGGACCATCGCCACGGACGAACTTCCCAAGTCAGAAAGTGAAAAGGGAACGAACATGGGATAAATTTTAAACAATTAGACGCCAATTAAAGAAAACCGTACAACCCGCGTTCAAGAAGTTCTTCGTTGCCGTCAGTTGCCATGCCAAACAGAAGCAGATCGATCTCAAGTGAAAGAGAGCTGTATTAGTATATCATTTGCGGTTCGTCGTTTTTCGGTTCTACAGAAAGTTGAACCGGTGCGGTGGACTTCGGATGAAGATTATGAAAGGGACCATCGCTGAGAAGCCTCGAAGTCAGAAAAAACACACAGATTTGAGAGGGACGGATCTAAAGAAACAAAGAGATTACGAAGGCCATGCCATGTTCAAGACGTTCTCTTGTACCGTACAAATCCTGAAAAGCCGTTCGCTCCGCCATCCGCAAGACTGAACCGCCACCAAAAGACCGTCTATAATATTGTAGAATAATGGTCCAAACACAATCCTAATAATAAAATCATTAAGTCCAAAACCCTTAATCTTTCCTTCATCATTACGCTAGAGCATAGCCAAGCCGCCCACGATGGCAACAGCGATGCCTATCCGGGGCTGCCAGCGTGCGACAACTCCTTCATTTGTCGTGCTACCCGAACTAGTAGTCGCCGAGCCGATAGGCAAGGACGCAGTCGAAGCGCTACCACTAGAACTACTACGCGTGGTTGTCTCCAGGTTCGAGGAATGTCCGCTAGCGCCCGATCCAGAACTCTTTGCACCCGTTCCGGTACTAGTCGGACTTGAACTGATCGACGTTCCGGTGATAGTCGTCCCGGACTGCGCAAGTCAGCATGGTGGGAATAGATAGCAGTATCAAGGGGACCTACGCTCGTTGCAGTCGTGGTGGCGGATACACCAGTCAGAATCGCGCTGCCACCTCCAATCGCAGAAACAGTCGTACATTGCGAAGATAACGGTATGGAGTGAGCGGCGGGTGTAGAGGCGTCACCCTGGTGGAACGTCGAGGTACCGTACACACCCATAGGCTTGTCATGGCGTCAACAAAGGGGGGTCAAAAAGGATTAGCGTGAAAGCCATACCTGTCCACTATCACCCTGACACGACTCGAACTCCCCGGCGTCATAGTTGCCAGGCATGTTCCATTCGCATCCCATCACGTCGTAGATATGTTGACCTACACCCAGAAGACGGTCAGTGTTTCAGAGGAAAGAGTAGCTCGTTCTATACTCACACCAGGTAGGCGCCATGCTCCCAGCGGGATTGCAAGCCCGGAAACAAAACTGGTCCGCCGACATGAAGTTCTACGACAGATTGAGATATGGACGTTCTCGAAGACATAGATTTTTACTGACCGTCCACTCGAAAACTTGTTCAAGCTTACCAAAGGCGGTAGAGAAGACCAAACCTCCAATGGGGTTCCCTGAAATCCATTAATCTCAGCTTCGGGCAGCCAGAAGCTCTTACCATTCCCATCGGCACCATGAGGGTCAAGCTCTCCCCCTGCATCGCCAGAGGGGATATTAAGCTTCGTCAAATCTCCCGATCCTGCGAAATATTCGGTTTCAGAAAAGATTCCTATCAGATTGTCAGGGATACTACCTACCCGTAACTTGAATAAAATCGGGCGTCTGAACGAAATGCGCTCCTGTGATGGCACCGCTAGGAATAATACGGGTACCATAGCCGTCCTGCAGTTCGTTGAACAAAGGCGAGTAGACCAAGAGGTAAGAAGAAATAGACCTTCAGGCACCATGAGACTTCGATGCGCTGTGTGGGGTATTAGCCATTCCAAGGAAGATAGCGAGTTTGACGAACCTCTGTATCCCCAATAGTAGACTCTGCGCCTGCCGTAGGAGGTGCCCATAGGCAGCTGTGTCAGAGCCGGTAAGCATGAGAGATCCGCTACCAAAGGGCGAGACGTACAAATCATCGACGCCATTAACTCAACAAGAATCAGACTCGAGCTCGCCCAGACAAAATGGTGAACGCACTATAAACATTCTGGCACATCGAATTCTGACTGGACGTCGTCCCGCATTTGTTGGTCCCACTCTGGCCTTGTTCTGATGTGTCGGGTGCGGTATCAGGTAGATAGGTCGCGCTATATTGCGCGCTTACGGTAGAGAGCGTGGTGATGAAAAGAGCGAAGGCGGGGGTATACATCTTGATGGTGGAAGAAAGAAAGGAGGAATAGGAACGACACGCGACATCCGTTGGGAATTGTTTGGAGTCTAAATATAGAACACCTGTCAGGAGCATTGGATTATCAACTGAAAATACGGTGTTGGGTAGCCGTACCGTATGACTATGTGCAGAGACATAACCATCGATGAATGTAGGAGCGGGAGCTTTTGCGTATTGTGACGCCATGCGCAGTAGCGAAAATCAGGGGAAATTCAAAGTCTGGGGAGCAGAGTAAGCATAGACGACACCGACAGATAGGGAGAAATACTGACATATGTTCAAGAAAGACTGAAACCATCCGTGTAGGAGCCTCTGAGCTTCAATTCGTGCAGGGAGTCTTCGTCGCCTCAATGTATCGAGAGTTTTCTTGTTGAGTTGAGAACTTGTTGCAAGATGGCTCGCCGAAGTGAAGCATCTTTACAGAGACGCAGAACTAGAACTGCCTCAAACGTAGTGCAGCTAACTGGAAACAAGCGTGTCATGATATAGCTTTCGAGAAGTCATGTACACCCACTTGCCACCCAGTCCAAAAAGCAGAATTTGAATGTGAGAACCTGCCATCGGCCGGTGGACCACTAGAATCACGAGGATCCCACTACAGATGCCAGTTTAATGGCTGCACAGGAGGAGACTCACCAATGATAGCCCTGGCTTCCCAGAGGAGCATTTCCATGTGGCGCAGACGTGCGAGCTGAGGACTTAGATATCGATTTGTCGAACGCCGACATAGCCTAGAAGTAATTGTCAACTGTTCTACTTGCATAATACGTCTTCTCCGCCTACCACGAACGACCAAGCAGCGGAATCTCATGATGAGGATAACAGATCCGTCAACGTACTACATAACCATCAGACGGGACCCAGAGCAAAATGACAGAACGTACCCCGAGGCCGAAATGAACTGGATCAAATATCATCATCGGTGGTCCAAATAACGTATACCGAGAAGCACGTATGTGATCTGAACATTACTCGTGTTCTCCTTGCTTGCAGTGGCAAGTCCGCCGAGGACGATAAAAGGAAGGCTGAAGGGATTCCGACGCGCCAACGCGGGTCTGCATCGTGTAGACGGCGTGAAATTACGAAATTGAGGCCAAGCGCCAGAGTTTACATTAGTCAGGTGCGGGATGTTCAATTCAACACTACGACATCCCAAATTTTTTTTTAACAGTATCAGGCGACGAGAATATCAAGGGACACAAAGGCCACGCACCAGAGCCATTCCCCACCAACGGACGCCGCGTTCCTCTGATTACAACAGATCCATGCACAACGGAAATCAAGCTGGATCTCACGTTCCTTCAGCACGAGGATGGCATACGACTGCACAAAGAGGAATGGATGAGCAACCGTACTGATCGTTGGGAGCCAAGGTACGTCATGTTTCCTGCACGCTGCTACACCACATCAATCGAATCGGATCCAAATACTTCGGCTACACGAAATTTTTCACGCCATTCAGACCACAATCGCGGTCGAGAAACGAGGAGGAGATATGCATCGGTGTGGTCCAGTAGAAAGAATTGATGTTGCACTTGTTTGGTGTTCGGCTGCTGCTTATCGGACCGAACGAACCGGTGCTCGTTCTTACTTGTTTCTTACTGATTTCTTTGCGCCCGATTGTTCTTTCTGTCTAGACTCTCGAATCCAGATGAGTCTGGCTTTTTTTCAATGGATGCAAATAGATATTCGTTTCACTGTTGCACTTGATTCAGAAATATATGGGCACTCCACGTTGCTTTATTCTTTTCTTAAACTTCTATAAACATTCTCAATATTTAACTTGACGGTCGAACGCATCGGGTCGTAGTTTTGGGCGTTCAAGCTTCTTCTACTTTACCGTATCATCGGATTTCGGCGCTCTCTACCACCTGAGCAAACTGATCCTTCCTTGCCTGGAACCTATAAATTCTGATAGAATTATTGGCTGGATTGATATTGACCATTTATTTCTTGTATAGCGCCACACCCGTATTAATATACTCTGAACTGTCTTCAGAAACCCTACCGATAAGTACAACTCGGACCATTTCCCACCTGGAGCAACTGTGACGCCCTTGGAATGGGTAGACTATCCGGGACGAATGCTATTATGACAAAACTAGCCATTAGGCTTGGACCCTCCGCCGTGATGAGTCATCCTTGATTGTCTGCAACTGATAATCGATAAAGGCTTGATAGTACAAAATAGCCCTATGAATCTTCCTCTCACGGCCGGTTCTCTTTTCTTCCGATCGGAGCTGACATTTTGCTATAACATATCAATGGGATTATGGCGGCCACCTTTAGAAATGAACCGAAATTTCTCTATTCTTGTGTTGAATCCACTTCTGTCTATCCGACGTCAATACCATCCGTCGGCATGCTTTCCAATATGAATTTTGCCTCTAAAGGCGAAGGTGGCGATTCTCGTCCTCACCCAAGGAACCGTTCTACGGCGAGTAAGATCTTTCTATAATGATCTGAATCGCCGCTGACCATATTCCATGCCGGTCTCTTTTCATTTCGGTCAAATCGAACTTCCAGTTTATCGTAAAGAGGTGTTTTGTGGCCGAAGAATCATGCTGAAGAATTAACACCGAAAACTCGACGGTAATTGCGTTACCATTTGACGATGTATCATAATTCTACTGCTAATTACTATGAGAGAGACCTTTTTTCAATTGAACCATAAAAATATCATCGCCAGCTTTAGGACTTTGCGATCACGTTTAAGATTCGCGCTTCCACCGGGACGTGATCAAGCCGTGATATATAGATTTTATGTGGTTCTTCCAGCAAGTTCGGGGTTTTCATCACAGGGAGGACGTCATTAGTGCGGTACCGGCGACTCACATTTTATGGAACAAACAAGGCATAGCGATGAGATTTTATGCGAGTGGTTAATAACCAAAGACTAGCCTGGTCTTTGACAGTTATCTCTCTAGGGAAATTCGATACGCCGAGCGCGAGATGACTTTTTTTTCCAAGCCCGATATCCGAAGATCATTAACATTTGTCACCCAATGGTCATCGATTAAGATCAAATGGGACGTTACGACATCGGAGGTATGACCTCATGGAATATACAGATCCCGGGACAAGGCACAGATTACCATGACGAACAAACGCAGTTGAACATTTAGCTAGCTACAATTAAATTGTACAGAGCGCACCGACCAGCGTAAGATATGCGGAATAAATACGCGAGACGAATGACAGAGAGATAAACGCGGTAAAATATGTATGTAGGATAGCGGCTGCATAGTGGAGGAAAAGCAATTATAACAATGATGGAATGTAACCGAAGCACAGGAAGATGAGCTCGTGTGATGTGGTCTTGAGATCTAACGACGAGGCTCGTAAGCGACGGCAAAGGAGAAAAAAGAAGAGAAGGACGACGCACAGAAGTCTGATCCCATTCTTTATCCGAAAGGGCAGCCTGGGGCGTGGGCGCCTCTCCAACCGCAATGGCAGCACTGGGGCTCGCTGACTCCGCGACTCATATTAGACAGCGGTGAGCCCAAAGGTACGTCTGGGACTGGGGTGGAGGATTCAAGTCCGGAATGGCAGCAATCCGGTACTGCGGACGACGATGGGAGGCACATAATACTATGCTGAGGACGACGATGAGGACGAAGTATGGGTTGAAATACGAGGTTGGGGCTCGATGAGTGAGGAGTGACTGATGTTCGAAATCGCCTGCTTTTTATCCAGCCCCCGCGGTGGCGCTCGTCCTGAAAATATGGTATTCAGCTGACAGAGTATATATCGGGACGTCATCAAGATCCCTGACCTGCTGATGCCTTTGGGATTACAGCCGGATAAGACGAAGCTAAACCATTCCGGGTCAAGGCCGGCGACCAGTTCGAGTCGAGTCGCGAGGTACAAGATTCGCTTAGGTGACCCTGACCTAATATAGACGTATAGGTCCTTGTTCGCGGCTCTTCCAATGTCATATTATCTAAGAATTTTGCCCTGGGCAGACGATGAACAGGTCCTCCAAGGATGAATGGGGCGGATGGACTTGGCACATTAATAAGGAATCCTCAAAGGGCTTTTCTTAGTATGTGAACATCCTGACTTGGTGGCGTTGCCGCGTAAGGGTATCGGCAGTCAGCTGAGATTTTCTCCCAAGTACATACGGACGTACGGGAAAAGAAAGCAGTCATGGGAAGCAGTGAAATAACAAGTAGCAGGAGCTCGCAGCAATGGTGCCGTAGCAATAATCGACGTTGCGTCATCCAACGCTGAATATCACTTTTTAGCGCAACATCACATCACGTGCCTGCGAAGAGCTGTGACTTCCCCTTTAGGGCGTGTACTGCCACACCGCCACTCAATTTCGAGCCACTTCGCGTTCTCGACATCTCCTAGCGTTATGTCCGAGAGAAAGTACCCCTTGATACATATAAAACTATCCGAAGCGCAGTTCTCCGCATAGACTTGAAAAAAAAATCTCCGCATTCAGTATTCCTAGCAGCTGGGAATTTTACCACCTCATGATTACTTGGGATTGGCGAAGGCAGTGTCTGTATTGCTTCCTGGACCCCCCCTGAACTGACAACCCTTCCTTGGTTATTCTCTCAGCATCTCGGAAAGCATTCCGTCAAATAATCGGCCTCAATTAACTCATGTTGATCACTCTCTTATCTCCGTACTTCTATTCTGATACGGGTTTCAAGGTCATGGCTCAGGTTCTCTACCCTGAGCATCATCACGAACTAAGCGCCTTAATTGTGTTCCTTCTGGCAAGTAGCCTTCAACTTTTTTTTTTCGGACATTTGACACGACATCAACGATGCCAAAATGACGCTGTACCTTCTAAATGAAACGTCGTGCGACACCGTGAAGGATCATAGAGAGTTCTTGGCGCATGAGAAATCGTCTAGACCGTCTAGACGTGTCTTTCGGTGGAACTGAAGTCCGGAAAGTGTTGCTCAGCATCGAGGCAGTACCTTGGCGTCTTATGGTAAGCAGATGCATTCCTAGCTACTTACTGAAAGCTTGCGGTGATGCAGTACATTTATCCCATATAATATTAATCCGGTTAAGTCGTACGACGTAGAAGCGCCACGACTCCATGGTAAACAGTCCAAATTTCTCAAATGCCAAACTAAGCTCAGCCAATCAGTATAACTCTTGCTGCGCGCGCCATTCAAAGAAGCGCTCGCTTCTACCGTCACACAGCTGAGGGGGGGGGGGGGGGGGTAACAATGCGGAAAGTAACCGGTAACCCGGTGTTCACCTGCTCCTTCTGGCTGCTAAGTTCATCTTGTTTCCCAAATTTGTGGATGTCCGGTCCGATTTCTCTCTGTCTCGACCTCTCGGGGCGGTCGACGCAAATCGTAATAATCGAGCAAGTGGATTCTCTGTCAGTACGTCATTCCGTGCTGACACGATAGGCTGCGTCTATGTCAGACCCTATCATTTACTTTGCATTCAGTGTATAAGGGATGGTGACATATCCATTGACTCGCTTCGAACGAACCCCGTACGGCTTGTGGTATCTTTCCGGCTGCCGGTGATATCTGCCCCGGTTATTTTGTAATATTCAGATAAGTGGCCCATTTAAATTTAGATATAGCTAGGCGCAGCTGACGGATTCCTGAGCTTCTCAAGCCTCGCGGTTTGTGGTGCATGACGCATGCACAATGAAACGTTCAGAAACGTGGCTGCGCTTCCTCGTCGTAGCCGCTCACCCTCTCATCCGGAGATGCATGATATCGTCTAAACGTAACATGTATCCACGGTTCGATGAATCCCTGGGAGGTACCTATCATTTGTGTAAATGGTAATCATCAAGTAAGTTCGTCATTGTTCCGTACTGACGTGTACCAGGATAACGCTATCCTTGTCATCATTAGGATTATTCAATTATGTAGCTTTCGAGAAAGCCGTCGTTATTAAGGAACATAGTATCTTCAATATCAACCCGAAGGCAGCTTTTCAAACTTCTGGAATGATGCCGCAACCATGCCTGGTCCTTTTCGGCTGAGCGGAACACCGATTTTCTCTAACATTGTATGACGTCCTTCGTTCCGTCATATCAAGAGAATCGCAGTTTGGCTGAACGCCAAAGGGACCGGGCAGGGTGTTACCTTCCAATATCCTATCGGACTCGGGGGGGGGTTTGAAGTATCCACCTACAGTCATCTTTGTCCTCGGAACCACAAATGCCTATCCCAGGTGTCTTCTAGACCAGTCGATGGACCGCGAACGGCGGACTACACCATTCTCCCCCAGTCACGCACATAGCAACCACCAAGCCTGTCATCATTGTCTATCGCTCCTAAACCAAGCGCGACAGTGGATTCTTTCTATCGCCCTGAAGCCTAGCCTGTGGGCTATTGAATCGGGTTTCGCCATACCACCAAGGCGTTTCCCACTCCCCAAGTCAACTCCGACATGGCATGCGCTTCTAACCTTCTCTCTATTGCCCAACTGTCGAGTCTCGACCCACTCGATTTGAATTTCTCTGGTGGTGGGGCAAACCTCGGTGCCTTTGCGGATCCCAATGAATTGACTTTTTCACAATGCGTGTGGCGGGTAGCAGCACACACTTCAATATCAATCATGGTGTGGCGGAACGCGTACCTTGCCATTCATTATGCACGTCTCTCCTTCACGGCAAATCATCGCCACCGATGCAGATCGTCCAGAGTTCTTTTTCCCTTGACAAATTCTTCGGCTTCCTTTTTGTCTGGGCTCTCGAGATAGGCTCTTTGACATTGCATTGCAATGCGGCGGGTGCACGGTGGCGTCGGATAAGAATCTCTCTGCTGGAGCAAACCGAACCGTTCCGCCCCTCCTGTTCCTCGGTCATCAATGATTTACACTCTGAACGGTCTGGACTCGAGGTCGGCGCATTCACGCACAATCCGAGGTCCGTTCACCCACTAAAAGAGAATTGCTACCTCACCTTATCTTGGATCCATGTAATTTTTGACTCGGGCGGTATATAAAACCTGTGGCGGGTGCCGAGGTCCGAAACAGCCGAGCGGAGTCTCTTGTTGCGAATGGGAAGAAAACGTGGTGTGGGCGTGTGGATTGAAAGAAAAACGGCCAAAGCCAGAGGCAATCGGCGGCCGTAGGACAGGGTACACACCCCTGGGTCAAGTGGTCAAACCGCTGACTAAGAAAAATTTGTACTTCCCAAGGTTTAAAGTCGACAAGGGTGATTTCGAAAGAAATCTGTGATAAGGGGCGGATGCAACTTTACCGGAAATCACCCCGTGTTTAGAGTTTCCACGAGGGGGAGGGGGCGCGTTCACCTCATTTCTGTGCTCCACGAATGCCCCATTGCTGTGGTAAGAGGTTCCGCGTGTGTTCCGCAGGAAGGGCATTGGTTCCTGTCATGTGGAAAGGTGTAAGAAAAGCCGCAGCCTTTGAAAACCAATTGCGAGCCCGAGAAGGTAGATAGCGAGCTTTCGCATCAGAAGACTTCGTCCCGCGTGGAGACAGCAGGGAGGGCTCCAGCGGTGTGGGGTAACTTGGATAAGGAGGAATATTTTTCGTGGTGGGATTATCGGAAAAATAATGCCGTATGCGGTGGGAGAAATATACGCCTACCATCGCCAACAATCCGGCAGAGGGACTAGACGGTTGTGTTGTTATCATCTTTGGCCTGCCCCAATAATGGATTATGACTGAACATCACGTAAAATCCCAACGCAGTTCCACTTATCTAGTAAGTTACGCGGGTTCTATACACCAGTACTTCGCTAAACACCGAGAGATCCCAGAATACTGCAGACGGTCGCGGACAAGGAATGCGTTTTTGATATATGTCCCTGTCAAGGGCTGCATGAATATGGTGCTCTCCTAGGTTATTTTTTTTTTAGATCGGCAGCTGAACGTGAACCTGGATCGTGAAGACTCTGCAGGGTTAGTAAGAAGACAGGGTAAGGAACATTTGCGCTTTCCAAAAATACGACTTATTCATGGAGAAACATAAGACCTTTTGTAATGAGGGTGCCCGAAATAAGCAACTGATGGAAGTAGTATTTAGCTTGAAGTTGAAAGTTACAAGCTGCTTCGCAGCGCCGTCAATCAATGGCTGTCAGTCGAGGGCCCCCGCACTTTAGGCCTAGGCAGAAGAGCTGTACAACAAAAATTGATGAGAACCGTCGTTTAGTTGTACTAGAAGCCCAATCGAAAAATTCGGAGTCAGGATAAGGGACAAAAGGAAAAAGTTCATGCACAGCCACATCCCGCTTAACTCCATCAGAATTGTGCCGATCTTGTGTGATTTCCATTGCACTATACGTATACAGCTGTTCTTGCTAGCTCAAGGTTCTGCGTACGGAAGTAAAAAGTGTATAGTCCCCAGTAGAAAAAAGCTACGCGCAAGATTAATACTTTCCATCCTAAAACTCCAGAGCTAGCTAGTCTGAGTCGGATTTGCTCCTGCAATTAGTTTCTTTATTAATCAGCCGGCGCAAACATTATATGTTCTGAAGGAGCCTTTGTATCAAGCGTTCGTTGTCGGATCTGGTGAAAGCTAGGTATGTCGGATTCGATCCCTCGTTTTAGGGATGATACTTTCCTTATCATCACCGGCGCGGAAGAGTGTCTATAAAATGGGGTTTAGGTATAGTGAAATGACCACTCACGCTCGGGCCCAGTCACTGATCTTAGGGCTAGGTTGCGTCTCTGCGAACTAAGCGTGAACGGAGACCCTGCACTCACGCAAGAGAGATAAGGTCCAGCCAAGGTGTCTGAGGCATTTCTGCGGGACGAGTGGGGGACTGGGGTATGTGAAATTTCCCTTGGACGATCAGTCACATCCCCTGGATCTCGTCAGCTGAAGAGTCGATATTTGGAGGTAACTCGGATTTGTAAATGTTGCGCAGCACTTGTACGCATGCATTTCGAAGCCGTCGTGGACTGGTTGGAAGAAAGGGGAAGGATAAACGTTTTACCAGCGGTCTGAAAAACAATCAAATCAAAGCACGCGAGCTCAGAAAGATAGAGTGGGGGAATGGGGTTTCGTGAATTTCGTCACTCCGTGCACATCTTAACTAGGCAACCAAGTTTTGTGCCCAAAAGCGCCAACGCCTGTATCCTTCAGTAGGACTTTCTCTTGTCACGGTTCCAGTTTGCTGGAGGATGTCGGTGTGGTGTTTGGTTTTCTCTGAAGAAACTATACTGTCTCGAGGTATGGGAATCTCAGATGAACGATTAATGTGCGCGTCTGATGGATAAAAATGAACGGTCGCTCGTTGCCTTCAACAATCCTTGAAGTCTTGAAAGGCTGCCAGTTGGTGAAACCAATGTGCACCCTATCTATATCGAGAGAAAATTTTCAATACGCACCGCAGAGCGCTTGATTATGGTCGATGGACGGACAGAAAGCAAGCGTCCATCGCAGGTCGTCGACCGAAAGGCTGAAGTTGTACCTGTTTGGCAAGCAGCTACATAGGGTCCTCGGGAGTAGCCGGAATTTCCTTCCCTTCTACTTACATCCAGAATGCATTCAACATTTGAAAAAGTCGCGGTTCCCAAAATACCTAGAATAATGTATGTCTTTATTGACAACCAACCCCCCCCCCCCTCCCCCAAATTCACATTGTTCAATCTACGGTACTATTGTAAAAGCTTCCGTTGTAAGCGAACTTCGCGACACTGCAATAGGTTTTCCTCTGGCGAAGCCCTCATATTGTATCCATTCGGTCACCTGAGAAGTTATACCCGCAAGTACGGACACCGATGTACCAAAGCTGGGGATTATAATTCCTTATACGAGAAAAGTCGGCTGAACATGTCATCATTGTCTCGTGTCAACTCCTCGTCGTCCGCTCCACTCGGTCCCTGGTCGCATATTTCTGGTCACAGGTATCTCTTCATGAACTATCGTACGACTTCGTGTTACAAAGGACCCTGTTCCATGAGCGATAGCGCTCCGGTCGAGCCACTCATTCCCACTTCCATCTCTGTGGTGACTGATGCTCTGGTCAGACTACACACGTATACACTTGAAAAGAATTCCGAATACTCTCTGTAGCGCAAACCAGATAACGACCTGATAAAAAAGAACCGGCGTATCAATTGAATCCATACTGAGTCTTATGATCTCAAATTTCAATTTCCCGCTCCTCGTTGCACTGTGATGTATCACGTATGATCATCTGTTCGCGAGCCATCCAGTGATATCTATCTTTGAAAAAAGAACGAACGTGCTATATTCCTGAATGCCCTAGGCTCCATCCGTCGCTTTTACCGACTTCCCATGCCGCAGGGGGTAGTTGGATACAGTTTCAAATCAGTGGTCCATCGCTGAACTTGGAGCCACCCTCAGGTTTGGAATCGATGCGTGACTTCCCCTTCCCCATAACATTTCCCCGCATCCTACTGATATGATGTGGCGCCTCTTCTTTCTCTGATTCCAAGCACAATGCCGGATGTCGTGCTCTCAATCATCGCTGACAGTGCGCATTTTCTTCATCTCGTCTTTCATTTCGGCTGTTTTTCATTTCTTGGTACTCACAATGTCTAAATATCCCGGTATGAAGGCGCCCGGTGATTGAATTCCTTCGACTCCAACTGGCTGTGCGTCGTAGAGAGCTCTGTGCAGCAAGGCGGACCCCGAGTTTCATAGTAAGTGGAGGATCAGAATTCGATTTTTCACTTCCTGATCCAGTGTGTGCAGCATATTGGTTTGCCGAACACGTCGCGAGAAAATTGTGTGGCGTCAAACTCATAAAGAATTTGTCTTTCTGCCCCAAAGCTAGGCAAATATCATTCCCCGACACAATTTGAATGCGCCACAAGTGTCATGATCAGGATCACCTTCGAGCGCATTTGCTTATTCCTTCCGACAACTGTTCCCGCTTACACCTAGGACGGACGTCGAGGATGACCTAAGCCGAATCAGGCTTCATCACTTCATTGTACCTGTACCTGGTGATCAAAAGATTTTCTGAATGACGCTGAAGGCTGTGAGCAGTGTGCATTTTGGTTAACGGGCGGTCCGAGTTCCGATTACAAGCTAGCACCTTGACAAGGTAAGCATCTCCCTAGTCTAGGTAACACAAAATAAACGGCGGTACGTACCACAACGGCTCGGATCATAACCCGCATAAGAACGATCTGCTACATCGCGTGTAAACGCTGAGTTAGATTTACTGAGGCCGAGGAACAAGAGAGTAAGGCTGATTGGTACATGTCCATGGAGGAAACAGGTGGCGCTGTGCAGGCGCTGACCATGGTTGTCACAATCTGTGGAAATTTTTCACGGAATAGACGCGCAACCTCACTCTCGCAGTCAGGGTCAATAGCCTTGTCAGCGCGAAGGGACACGTCAGTACCAACAATAAAAGACAGGCCGTAATGGCCACTTTAAAATTCATACTCCGTGAAACTCTGTCCAGATCTCCGAATGGAATGAAAGGGTCTCAATCTGTGAGCCATCATCCAGATCCTAGGCCGATTTCTAACCGGGAATTAGGGGGATGTAAAGGGCCTATTCAGAATTGGAGCAGGTGGTGCATAATGAAATTAAAACGCCGGTAAGCGAAGGGTGACTTCGCTCTACTCTGGATTCACCGGTGAATGGGTATTATATTGTAGAATTGAGACTTATAAATACCTTGTGCATTATCACATCGTGGAATTGCAAAGACGGAGGGACGTCTCTTGCGACCGATGCGGTTAGCAACCGTGAATGACAAGGGTCGTAGCTCTCGCGATTTGCGAATCTCCGACAACAGACAAGTTCATCAGAACCCACGGCCCGAGGTCCCTGAGGGATAGCATTTTAGAAAAAAAAACGGCATAGGAAGTGGAAGAGATTGACTCTGGAGTTAGAAGGATGTGTGAAAAGAAGACGGGTTGGGAAAACGCCCACTGGAACCTATAGGTCAGCACCTGAATGGCGAAGGAGACGGATATACTTATTGAATAGATCTATTTATTGGTAGCGAATGACGGCTGGAGACTAAGAGAACAAAGATCTTCGGCCAGCCGTACCACTTTTGTACGGTACTGAATAAAGATACTTGAATAAGAAAGCCGGTATTGAAATAACAGAATGTGTATCATTACCTATATTGTGACCGGACTCAGATGACCCCTTGCCAAGATCAATCCATCGTCCGCAAAATCAACAATCTGGCATCAGAACCCACGGTTCCAGTGGACATCAGGGAGATCATAGAAAGAAAGTGACACATAGGAACTGGAATTGATTACGTCTGAGTCAGTCATGGTGACCCGGCGATTTTCGGGGTTCGAGGGAGGTGAGAAAGAAGATAGATGGAAGACGGGAACGCCTACTGGCACCTACATTTCGGCATCGGGATGTGACGGTCATGAGTATCGGACGTGTCGATGTCCTAGGATGAAGGAAATGAACTAAGATGGGAAAATCTTAGGCCAGCCGCAATAATAGTGTTTTACGATGCTGGATAAAGAGAATTGAGTAGATAAGTCGGGTTTCAATAAGGTACCGGGTGTATGTCGTCACCGGTAGTACGACTGCAACTGGGATCACGGTTTCGTATCCGCATAAAGACTAGTGGGTAGTCCGCGATTTCAAAGAAAGGATGATACTTCCTATGAAAGGTTAGAGGAAGCGGGCTTACGGTTGTTCAGGTCATCGGAAAAGGGTTGATAAATGGTCACTTGGAAGAATCTCAATCAGAAGTATATTAGCAGTGCCCATTGAATGGAGAAATTTTTAGGTTACTAGATTTTCCGAGGTGGTAGTCATGAGACGCCGAATAAAATCGGCGTTTTTTGAATGATGGTGGCAGTATAAGGTTACCTCGCAGTGACAATCAAGGTGTCATGTCACAGTGACCTACAAAAATTCAGTAAGAGACAATATGCAAGTGAGAAAAATTCCTCTGTTGCGAGGGTTCAAACGCAATTCAAATGTTCAAAGCAAAGGAGGGAGGTCGCGGATCACGTACTAATTTGGTCGCGATTGTGGCGTGAGAAAACATTTTGCTTTCTCGCCCACATACCCATGCCATGCTGATGCGGACCGGCCTTTATTTTGTCCTTCGTCGTTCATGTGCACGAATATTCCGTGGTATCTCTACAGAGGCTCTTCACTACGCCGAGCGCGTCCTTCATGTAGAAAATCTTCCTGTGGGATACAACGTTTCGACCATACTCGACACCATCAAGGCTGGTACGCAGATTGAAAAGATACGGCCCCAGAAAACACGGATTTCTGTCTATTTTTACGACCAGAACTGTGCTAGTCGATGCTTAAAAGCAAACGGGGGTAGTCCCTTGTCATTAAAAGTCGCTTACGCCGAGGGGAGAATACCAAGCTCTGTTGTCGCCTCCCTCGGGCGCTACCATGCTTCTCGTATTCTCACAATAGACCATGTCCCACGGGAGTTCGATGTGCAGGATCTGAAGAAACCCGTTCGTGACAGAATGGAATCCTTCGATTACGACGAAGCCAAAGCTCAGCTCGAGATCAGTTTCCTGGATACGTCTACGGCATTCAATGTGTGTCCGTTTTCGGTTATTACTTTCCCCCACTGAAGATGATGTCATGTAGATCCGAAATGTCCTTCATGAAAACTGGAAGTTCGAAAAATCTCTATTCGATTACATTCACGACGACAAACACAGTTTCTTCCCAGACTGGTATAGGACAGAAGAAAACGATGCTGTGGGACCGTTGAAGCGAAGTGTCGAGCTTCGGTGCATAACATCCCCTACGACTGCAGAGACCTGCCAGGCGTGGACGAACCGGTTTGACGAACTCTCGCCCACTTTAGTCTCGGCATCGCTCGTGCCGAAAAGAGAGGCAAGTCGAGCATCTGTAGTTCTCTACCGCGCGATTTAATATCAAGCTACTAGATCATGTATCTTGCCTTCGCTACGGAAGCGGGGGCAGACCAGTTTGTGAAGATGTTCCAGATTAAATCTGCGAAGACGGGAGTCGAGATGGAACTGCTTGCGAGGGATCATACCATACATCCTAGTCTGATCACCGCCCTCAGCTTAGGTGCCAGCCGTTCGCTTGTCTTTACGTTGAACCAGGAGCAGTATCAAATCTTGCAGAAGAAGGATTGTCGGAGACTCTTCTCGAAAATGGGTCGGACTTCGCGGGTTTCTGTCCAGTTCCCGTAAGTGGCCTTTACCTCTTCCGGAGACGAACCTACTGCTAACGCAGAAACTGATGATAGTCCGGAAGCCTTGAAGGGAGAGTTGATTGTCCAGTTCGACCACATATTTTCAGCAATGGGTGCCATACATCGATTGATGGTCCCAGGTGTGCTACCGGATTTGAAAGGCAGCCACGTCAACTTCAGAGGGGCCCATCAGTTGAAATATCTTGTAGTCCAATGAGCAAATAAATGGACTATTTTAACCGTCTGCTTCCTCTCATTCTGTCTATCTAGAGATATCATCTCGTCAGTCCAAATCAGACGAAGCCCATCGCCCAAATCTGAGAGCTATTGAAATTTGCTCTTCTTCCGTGTTGATACGCAAAAGGGTTACAGCTACAGCTACAGCTACATGACAACCGCTCACACCGTCTCGCAGAGTGAAGGGGGTAGTGTATTTTAGCTCGTCAGAAATGAATCCGTAAAAGTTTTTATTTTAGCAGAGCTTTTCTCGGTCATGAAAAGATCGCCATTAGAACGGTAGGAAAAAATTTCTCCCTATGAGACAATGGAACTAAGGTACATTTCCATTTTATTGCGCTTGAGAGGAGATCGAGCATCCAACGTGTCGCTTACTTGTAGGCGGAGCACCATTATTAATAAGTTCAATCCCGAGAATAAACGCAGGCAAGTGATTCCCCACGAGTCGACGGGAGGAAGCAGCTCGCTTGAAAGTCAGTAGCACAAACTCGTCTTGTCAGTCTCCGTCCTCGAGTGGGTCTTGCGTACGAACAGTGTGCTATTGATCCGATGAGGTTATATAACATCCGACGCAGTGAAGACTTCTACACGTCTCCTTGCCACCACTCGCCCTTCCATGACCCCAGAATAATACTAAATGGCATATTCAGTCCGATCTCCATGAACCGAACTCGAGCCATCGGATCGAACCACCCAGGAAATGTCAACACAAACCATGTCAATACCCATATGTATCCTACCAGACGCGCCCATATCCTTGGTTCTCCGCTATGACCAAGCTTCCGAGCAAGCATCATGACAACTGTCTCAAACATGATAGCGAACGGCTGAATAGCGAAGAAGAACAAGCTTCCGCCAACGTTCCAGCGTTTGAACATCGTAAAATCCGCGACCATATGGAGGAAGATCGACATGGCGAAGGAGGTATAAAGCTGTATCAGGGACGATGCCACTGTGCCGGGAGGATAATGGAAAACCTGTCGCGCAAGATATTTCCCATGAGACGAAGCGAACTAATAATCTCCGGTGAGCACGTTTCCTCCATTTCGTTGACTAGAGATCTCACCCGATTTACGAACTGGTGCCAGGTGCGTCTGAAACACATCAGTTACACTGAAAAGCGAAGCAACATCTGAATCTCTCACCCCCAGAACCGTCTCAGTGTATACGCGTCGAACGAAGACCCAAACGGGTCAACCTAGTCTCGAGGTATCGACAGTCCCAAAAGCACAGATATAATGCTCAATACTCCATGCAGTATCCGCATCTGGGCCTGTGATGTCCATACCCAGGCTAAGAGATCCACGTAGCGCAGGAGCCAAGGCCTATCAGCCATCGATATCCCATCGCTCAGAAACGCAGGATTGTCGCGGTTATAAATGGACATCGCGTCAAGCAGGAATACATTCATGCCCACAACCAATAAGCGCCATCGAATGAATACCAATCGCGTACGCTCAGGTGACGCCGGCGCACAGAGCCGATTTGGCGCGTGTGTCCAGCCGACCCCACGAAGGCTAGACCACAGTCTGATCCCCCATCGGAATTTCTCGGGGAGAGGAGCAGAATCCACTGCGTCCTTGTGACCTTTCAGCCGTAGCTCCTTCTGAGGTTCGGTGAGGAGGATGTAGTCGGATCCCAGTAGAATGGATCCACCGTAGACGGATCCGAGAAAATAGTCAGCGACGGGGTGGTGTGTAGTTGTGAAGGCGAGATAGGTGTTCCCGACGACGATTATTACCCAGAAGATCCACCGATATGGACTTGGGCGGACTATTAATGATGTGGCCAGAGAAACAAGGGTGGTGGAGGCAAATATTAGGGATGAGAAGGGGGGATAACCTTCTGCTAGTGTATATCCCATTATCGACAAATGAGAAGGGGCAGCTTGAGAAAGTTATGGTGATTCGCTGCCTTGATTATCTCGAGACAAACAGAAAGCGGAAGGTTAGCGAAAGATACGGAGAACTCGGCGAAATTGGGTATACCCGCCCTGCCGGCGGCCTAGCCCATTCTTACGATTCACGTGCCGCTAATTTCAGAGATACCAAGCCCCGTTTAGAACAGAGCCCTAATTTGATCCTGATATACATCACGTACAATAATGCTCTACTTTCTGAAGATAAGCCATAAATTGGCAACAAATGGAGAATATCTGTAAGATATTCAGCGAATGGTAAATTACAAGAAGAAACCTTTTCTTGTTCTCGTCAGAGAGAGTGGCCGCGGGAGCAGACATTGATAATGATATCCACGAGGCTTATTCGCTGCCGAATACGGACGAAAAGTGACCCTGCAAGCTGTCACCACATAGTGAACCACCATCTCGAGCCAAGTCTGGTATAGGCCTTTCAGTTGCATAAGGTGGAATAATCTTGGCTGTGCAGGGCTGACAAAGGAATGTATTCATTTTTGTACTAGGATCGGAGGTTCCGGATTTTGTATTCTCTTGTATCCTCCAGTCGAGCAATCCTGAAATGATGGCGCCGTGTACGTATTGTCCCTGTTGTTCTCTTTCCTATTGTAGCCTCCCTCAATAAATGAAACGTATCCCGTCATGTTAATTAATGCTGTCAATTAATGCTGCGCAACCACCACAAGGGTACGGATGTTTAGCAAACGTATCCTTTGACCCTACTTGACGACAACTAGATAGGAAATTCCTATCACTTTAGAAAATTTGACACCAGGATCCCACCATATCAGCCCATGATATTATAGCAAAACAAACAGATATTAAACTACCATGTCCCTGTAAATGCCAGAGTTTCTTGGTTCCGCCTACGGTAACATGTTATATACCGATCACTCGCTCTTCACTCTTTTTTCACCATGGCGCTTGATGGTACTCTGCAGCTCGACAATACACGAGTTCTTTCTTTTTGCTCAACCTGACCCGATGCTTGTGATCGTGATATACAGTGTCGGCGCGTTTGAAATAGCGGTGACTATTGCTTCTTTGTACGTTCAGAAACCCATTTGAGTGCACTATCTCATATGTCAATTTTCTTTGGTTAGACTCTTTGGCGGCGAGCCCGCCCTTCGTCTTTTCTCATTAAGTAGCCAACACTCTGGCCGATTTTTACAGTGCTCTGGGTACAGTTCTGGAAATACGCCAATGGATATCAAAGAGATCCGTGGTATATCAAAGCAATAGTAATATTTGTTTTCTGGATTCAGAAATGTCTCGCTGATCTTCGACTTTCCAGGTGGCGACTGTGTTTTCCGGTAATCTGTTTCATCAGGTGTGCCTCAACCACTCGCGTGCGTATCACGTTCATATCTTGCTGCGTAAGGGCTAAATGGCCGCTCAGTATACACATACACAGTAACGCATTGGGGAGATGTAGATGTGCTACTTTCTATACCATGGTGCGTAGGCATGACATTGGTTCGAAAGTCTCTTACATTCTACTGCAGGAGTTTCCTCGTGCGTTAGGGCTCTCCATACGCTACGTTTTGTACTGAGAAACGAGTTGCAGGGTCTTGTTACAGCTAGTGTAAGACTCCTTTTCAATGTTTCATGTAGAATTCTCCTTCTAATGCTGGCGCCCAGGGATGCGTAGCCTTTGTAGTGCAATCGTTAGTCTCCCTTTTGGACCTAATTTGATTCTGACACGAAACTCTAATACTTATGGTGATCTAGGTTCTACGTCTACAGAATTTGGAAACGTGGGATCTATTTCTCCTTCCATGACACGGTCTCATAAACGGAGTACAGTGAGCAACGGAAGCTATCTTCTAATCTTCCCTTTGGTGCGTCCTTATCTTCGTACATTGCTTGTGAGAGGCCTAACAGATTCAAGGCGGCAATATCAATGGCAGAGTTCAGTACGTCAAAATCACATCGGTTCTTCTGATAGCACTCATCAGCGTCGTGTCTCGTAGTTGTCAACATGTGTGAGTTGCTCATTCTCAGAATTTATTCCGTTTTATCGACAATGCCCTTTAGATGCTGTTGATGCAGGGTAAGTACTATATCTAATGCAGAACATTGTTTTGACCTTTAGATCATTTGTAGCCGAAGAATTACCGTGTACACAGAGCAAGTGAAGATAAAGGTGGGATCTTTTCTCCAACGCATTGTCGCTGCGTTTACCATTACTCTGTCAGCCGTACTATTAACATAAAATGCACCGGGTGCCGTCAAGGATTGTCTCCTCGCTGGAGTAATGATGCTCTTTCTTTTCAAGAGCCGAACGAGATTCAAAAAGTACTGTTCATTTGAAAAATATCTTGAGGCTGGGCTAATTGCTTTCAGGACAAATACCATGATTACTCGTCTGGTCCGTTTTTCATTCGTGTTCCTTATATCCATCTTAAAAGTATTCTCCAAAGATGATGTATTGTGTCAACACCGGTAAGACTGGGCCGTTCTTTTCTTGAATTCAACCCTTCTAAGCTCCTGCCATCGTAGGAATATTTACGAGGTGAATACACTTCTTATATGTCCAGGCTTCGCTTGCATCTTGATAATGCAGCATGGCAGCACTGCTGACAATTATCACAGTGAGTCATGCCCATACTAGTGTCTGCTATTCGCCTCAATTATTTAAACGACCAGCTGTCCATTTGGGACAGGACTATGATCGACCACCCATTCTACTGTGAGCCCACCCGTTTTTCGACACGTGGTATTTCATCTAATCATAATATTCTCCTAGCTGCCCTTCCGAGGTGTAGTCCCTTTCGATACTATCCTTAATCCCTACATGAACGTCATCCCTCAGTATACGGCGCCTCGCTGTTTGGACTCCTCAACGCTCGCAACGATATCCGAAATGGTACCCCGAATAGCTACCCTTCCGATGAGTTCAACGAGATCCCGCTTTCTCTGGCCCAATGAACACACACAGCGGCGGCACCTATTCCAAACATATCTACGGATTCTGTATAGTACTTTTGTCTTATCTCTTGTGCCCCGACTGACGATGATTGAGGTGGACACCAAGCCGAGCCATGTCATGGTTTGTGTATCGAGAGAGACTGGTGGTGATACGGTTCGTGCTGCTTTGCGCTTGTGAAATTCTTCTAACTCCTGGAACGTAGGAACGGTCATTGGATAAAGGGAACGACTTCGAGTCCGTGCGAAGTACTCAAGGTAATGAAGCCTAACCCTTAACTTTGATAGTCACTGTATTTCCTGCTTGACATATAAGTCGATGGCGTTGACTATTCCATATACTGTCTATACCTCTTGTGGGACATCTAGGTTCAGTTATATTAAACGTTCTGAAGGGACTTATGGCAGTCTACTCTCTTCAAAGGAAGCTCAAAGTTCGTGGAGAAGACGTAGCCGCATCATTTCAGAAATGGAACACAGTGTAAGATATAAGGATAAACCGACTACTGTATGTTTCCTTGTGTCCTTTCCATAAATTGAAATAATTCAGCTATAGAATGAGGGCACAACGCCAAAGAAGTTCTTTGCAGTCAGGATTCATATTCTTAGCGGACAAGTTTTCGGGAGAATATAGAAATTGTCCAGTTCAGCATTGGACGAGATTCAGGTCACATAGATGATATAGTTTACTAGGTCCATGAGGTTACTTACATAAAAGATATACGATTCGGACTCAGAGTCAGAAGCTTTGTTGAGTCTTGACATGATTCCGATTTGAACGTCAGGAAAGACGGCTGCGTTCGTAATAAGAATTTATTGCTGATTTGAATGAATGATATTCATCCCATAGAGATAATTAGACGATATTCAACAGGTAGAGAAGCATCCATTGGATGTACATCGAACAGCATCCTTTAATTGCGGTTTTCTGGAATCGGGCTCTGTTCTCACGAAGTCTGCAAGAAATATCCGGCTCAATCGCAGCACCTGATACAGATAAAGAAACTAACCGGTGTGAATCGAGTTTGACGTAAACACCCTAACACTTACGACCGCTCTCTTTCGAATATTTATTCTGTAGGTTCGTATCAATACAAAGAGAGAGCAGAACAAATGTTGTCCTCATCCTGTCAAAGAGATACATTATCGGCTGTCTAGGAGAGACTAGCTGGATATACATTCGTCCCACATTGCTCAATTCATCAGTGAATTAGGCTTCGAGTTGCTCCCGCATCACCATACGTTTGAGCGCCAGGGCAAACACAAAAGGAGGAAAAACCATGAATCAGAATGGAAGGTCGGGTGATATGTGGCTGCGAGGTCGTGCAACGCCATAGTGGAGGTAATGAAGGAAGAAAGCGACGACGGCTATGCAGAGTGAGCGCGTGTTGATGGTCCCGTTACCGTACGATCGTTCTGGCAATCTGAGTCGCATTAACGAGAGACATGCTTGACGTTCCTACCGCCCGACAAAGAATCTCGGAATCATGAAAAAAGTGCATCGAGGAGCTGCCACACTTCTGCTCTGAACACTGTACACGATCCTTTAAGGTGCCAGGGTGGAGCAAGCCCTGAAGGATTGGAATTCCATAAAGAAGAGATTGTGAACTCGAAGGATGGGCGGCGTCGCGTGGAGAAACCTCAATGGTTTTATGTGCAACGGATTTTGTCGCTATGATGTGTGCTTCAAGGATAATCGATAACAGTCCATATAGAGGGCGCGGAATGTCAGCGATGATTTTCTCAGTCTTATCCAGTATGCTTGTATGTCATTGCTCTAGCCGAGCTGCTGCACGCTACCAGTGGTCCATGGTGGATATCATGACTCCGGTGACGGTGATGACTATGATTCTACTGCTAGAAACCCATTCTTGAGTTAAACGAGGGCAATATACGCCATAAAATACACTAAGAAACTGAAGATAATGAACAGAAGCGCCACGTACCTTTTCGCCATCAAGTACACTCTTATATGCGCCCTAAGACTACCACAGACGACTCCAAACATTGGTTGCTCGACTATTTCTTGAGTGCGGATTGTAATAGAAACCGCTGTCATATTCTCCGCCTCTCAAGACGTCATGCATGGGGAGTTCCAACGTCGGTGTTGATGTCCATACAGGGTCTCTGCCGTGATTCGGCAGTGTTTACGCGGCTTTCTAACCATCATGGTGCGTTTGTTTCTTTTATTCCCTGATCTGTTACTTACGAATAGCTTCAGAACGACAATTTTGATATAGTATTTATAGTATCGCATCTAGTACTTGTTTTCCCCCCTCTGTCGTCAATGACATGAGTTTTTCCCCTTACTTTACAAGACCCAAAACAGAAACTTAATATCGAATTCGACGCCAATTTCCGTCATGCTTAGAACGGCCAAAAGAGAGCCAAGGAAGAACGAAAAATTAGACAGCGAGGTAAAAGACAATATGCAAGCGAGGAAATACGACGCATCTGTTGGGAGTAGAAGTGGAGGGAATGATGTACCACGGAATATGGTCGTGATTGTGGCAGCGAAGGCTTTCGTCGCGGCAATTTTTTGAGAGTCAGAAGAAAGAAAAATCAATTAAATGTGAACACGAGCCAAATTCATTTCTTGTGGCATGACCACGGGTCGTTGATTTTACGAAGGGACCATGAAACCACTGGAAATACGTTGGAAGAGCCAAGATTTTCAAGTTACCGTCCATTAAAGTATCGAAGATTCCGTATCACCGTCCCTAAAGCGAGGATGAGTCAGAATTCAAAACGCCGAAATTTCATATGTGTTCAACTAAATCGGGTTATAGTTACCTATATTCCTCTAAGTTACCAGACAGAAAGCGCCAACCATCCTTATGCTGTCACCACTGTTCAAAAAAAGCCGTTTTTTTTGGCGTATGATGACTGCAGTCTCGGAAAACACAATCTTTTGAAAAAGTTTCGACTGTATGGGTATTCTTTTTGACAACTCACCACAAGATCATTTACTGTGGCTCTAGCGGTGACATGAATAATTGTAAGCGCATTGTCTCTGTAGCCGTTCTTGGGCCGTTTTTTTGGTTATAGACTAGTCTTCATGTGGATATCAAGGTATCGTCCGAATCGGGCTCATATTACCGGTACAGATGTATATCCCGTTACCTCTGGTCTTATTTCAATCCCTTTATTCAGCGAGCGCAGTAGGTGGCGGGTGGCGGAAGACGCGTATCAATTTAGTCCCTGTCTCCGTACCAATTAAAAATAGGGTTCATGTCTGTCCCCTAGGCCCTATACCATCTCGGTGCCGAAATGTAGGTGCCTGTAGGTGTCTTTTTGTCTTCAATATATCTTCTTTTGCGCATCCACCAGGTGAACAATAACTGCAGTGATTCAATTAGTTCCAGTTCCTTTGCAGGTGTTAATAATTGATCTCTGTGCCAGTCCTTGGACCGTATGTTCGCTTGTAGTCGGAGATTGGCAAAATGCGAGAGTCATGTCCCTTGTCGTTGCCACATTCGACGTCTCTGGATATGCGTCGTTCAAGCTATTTATGTGTTGGTGTTCTTTGCGAAAAATGCCTATTCACCAGTGAATTCAGTGCAGAGTTTATTTCCCCCTGCCTTACCGGGTTGATGATTTCATTATACTGCTATTCCGATACTACTGAATAGGGGGTAAACCCCAGTTGGAAATCAGAATGTATCACAGATTTAGCTGTTTCGTTTCTTTCGGAGATCCACACAGGGAAGACCAACGTCGGTGAATTAGGGCGCCGTTTTATTTGTCGAAACATTGACAGTCACTCACCCTGACTGTATGAGCTAGTCATGCCAGATGATCAACGATAACTTAGGGATCGGCATAGCCGAAATGAAAGATGGAATGACAAATGACAAGCTCAAAGCGGTTACAGCGGGGATTCATGAAAAAAGAGGTGATAAAGAGAAGTCCCCGCATCTGTGGGATACTGGGAAAAATGTTTTGGGGAAGGGGCCGCCACACACCGCGCCCGAGACCGAATGTCTGCTGCCCCAGGTTGAACTCCCTTTTGACGGGCCTGGCGGCATGTAAATGTCACCGTCGGAACATAAGTTGGCAGAAGTGATTTGTCTCAGCTGAGCATTATTGGAAGATAGAGCACCCGAATTCTAGCATGGGTACAATGGGCCTTTGTTATGGATTTCTGCATTGGTATAATTCCCGGAAATGTCTGGAAGTCTCCAGTCGCTTGAAGTCCTTTCTTTTCCTTTTCATCCCTTTCTGTACTTTTTCTTACTCAGCCTAATAAACTCATTATAACTCATGACTTCATGAACTTGTTCAACCTTCTAGTAACATCCATTTGTATATAAATGTAGCTACAAAACATGTACTAGGTATTACCTGTCTTGAACCCTACACTTTGTGTGACCTCAAGCTATGGAAACTAAGCTTTGTGCTAATTGGAACCCCTCATAGGGTCTGAGAGATGAGTAGTTGCATTGATAGTCTAATCTAGCTATGAGCAGGAAAACTATATCTATCCTGCCCTAAACAGTCATGTGCTACAGCCTGAATCCACCTTTGCCTTCTCCCACCTATGCTCCCATGTACCCCCCTACTGCAAGGTGATGCTCTGGTGCCTCTCTGCAACTATAGCACCAATGAATGGACCTTCTGCCTCTCCTCCTTCTGTCTCACCTTCACCATCTTCCTCTAGCACAATCATCCTATTGTTCTCTCTGCCAACTAAGTGTTAAGCCCAAATTCCATGTGACTAATAACATATGATAAACTATTGCTACCTCACACTTTGGGTAAAAT